GCCTTCAGCAAGAAAGTGCTTCTGGAAAACTATGCATTTCCAAAGTAGTGGAGTTTAATTTACACTTATATTTTTTCTGGACATTTCCAAGGCAACAGCTGCTCATCCTGAGATATTTCTAGTCTCTGACAGCAGGCTTCAGTGGGCCCAAAGAAGTATGAGCTACCTGTGCTCCTGGTCAAGATGATCAGCCCACAAAGTCAACCCTCAAAAACATAGCTGAAAAGAAATTTTCCATCAGTGTTACAGTCTCCTCATTGTAGCTAAAAGAATCACTTGCCATGTGACTGTAGGGTTTCAAAACTTTTAGTGGAAAAATGTTTCTTTCTTCCATGACTCCTGACACATCAGCTACTTGGTCTAGTTTGCTGATAGGGAATTGTGTCCTCTAGGATTCTCTTCATTCAATAACATATAAGCATGAAAAGCTCTGACTTTCAAACTCACAGACTCGCTGTAATGGCAGGGGATTTCAGAAATAACTTCAAATCTTTCAAAATGAAATGTCACTTGGACTTTCTCAGAGCACAGTTAAAATAATAACAATAATAATATAGCTAAGTTTCTTTTCTCCCATTTTGGAACAGTACATGATAGAACTGTGTCTTACATGAACATTAATACATGAAAGGCCCTGTGCAGTGTCCTGATTTTAAGAAAAGAAACTGAATTGAGAGGAATTATTCAAAGAAGCAAGTATTCGTCAGCAGAAGCAGATGTTTTACCCTCAGCTTCCCATGAAATTAGTTACACATTATAAGATGCAGATGAATATATGAATTTTTATTACAGATGAGGTGTGCAAGTGACTTCAGGTCAGCTTTTTAACTGATGAAAAAGATCAGACACTGACAGATATTTAGGCAGCAAATTCGTCACATGACTTTCAAAAGGTATATAGCAATTATTTTGATTTACATGCTGAAAGATTTTGAAAATTTCATAAGGCGCTTTTCTGCACCTTTAGAGGCTAAAATTTGATTTGAAATCTGTCTCTTTAACATCAATCCACCGCATACAACCAGAGTTCTGTGAAATGGATGTAAAAGAGTTCCTTCCCAGAACACTAATAAGTAACTGTGAATATAATTAAGAATATTTATCAAAAAGGAATTTAATTCACACCTTGCTTGCCTCCAGTTCTTTTTATACAATAGATTATATAGCAGTCACTCTTGAAAGTGCTGCAGGGAATTATATTTAAATGTATATTTTTCTATCAAATCCCTATCTTGTACTGAAAACACAGCAGCTACACTTGAATATAATGCTAGTATATGATGCGATAAAGGATGCTCCTTGCTTGGAGCATAATTGCTGTGATTTGCAGGTGTAAGATTCTAACCCAAAGGTTTTCTGTCAGAACAGTTTAACAGCTAATTCCCACAAATGTTCAGGTAGTGAGACTGCTTTCAGTCAGCCCTCTTCTCTTACAAAGAAAATATGGATTATTAATGTATTTAGAAGTTTAATGAACTAGGGACTGAATCTGTGATCAGGGGATGTACTTACAGTAGATCCCTTTGGCTGCTACTCATTATCTGTAGAAAATACAACTTATTTTGTTTCTCTCTGCTGGATGGATGTGAGGAGAGAGAATGCATCACTGGTAACAGTATTTCAAAATTCTTGTGGCTTGGACAGTTTAAACTAAAACTTTATCTGGCAGCTCCTTGATAAGCAATTAAGCCGCAGAAGCTTTGATGTGGAGATGTTATAGAATCATAGAATGGCCTGGTTTTGAAGGGACCTTAAAGGTCACCTAGTTCCAAACCCTCTGTCATGGGCAGGGACACCCTTCACTAGAGCAGGTTGCTCAGAGCTCCATCCAACCTGGCCTTGGACACTTCCAGGGATGGGGCACCCACAGCTCTCTGGGCAACCTGCTCCTGCCTCACCACCATTCCCTCTTATCCTGTCACTATTGTAAATAGTCTCTCTCTGACTTTCTTGTGGGCTCCCTCCAGGTATTGGACTTGATTTCATCATTAATCTATACTGGTATTGGGTGTTTCTTAGACATGAGAATATTACTGGGGTGATTAAGTAATGATACAGCAGAATTTTAAGGAAAGCAAAAATTTCACTCTTCAAAACAATCTGGGTGAGGCACGGCCATGGTATGCTTCCAAAGTCTTTCTCATTTCTTTAACTATCAGTACCTCTAGAAAAGTGAATAGTTCAGACTTAGCCTGGACTTTGGGAGAGCTTTTCCACACACCTTATGTGTCACCTCAAGCAACTCAGTCTCTCAAAATTTCAAATCCCCAGTTGTTAACTGGGAATCAAAGTAATTCACTTCTCCATAAAGGTGTTGTGAAGGTTATCCATTACGGACTCTTTAGTGTTCAGAAAATATGGTCCTAGCACACATAAATACTTTAGGTACAATGACTGTAAGGCAATGTGTATAAATTGTGCCACAAAATAAAGCTTCTGAAAACTTGGTGCTGCTATGCAAGAAAGGTCTCACAATGGCAGTACACCACACACCAAGTTCAAAGAGCACAAAAACAATGAGGGAAAGAAAAGCCATTTTCAAAAGTGATTTAATTAATGTGGGTTTTTTTCAATTATGACTCTTAAAAATTTCCTAAATATACTTAAAAGAAAAGACAAAGGCACAAGTTCAAGTTAAATGATTGCACAACACACACAGACCGAGAACAGATCCTTTCCCAGTTTCGTGTTCCATAAGACACTTCACAGGCCCATCTTTCAGATACAGGTTTTATGTCCCTATTCAGAAGAAAACCGCCATAAAAAGAACCAGGGGAGAAAAGCAAAGGCTTCTTCAGGAACATCTCAGCAGCATCCAGCATGCAGGAGAATGGCACAGACAAAATTATCTGGGAAGGGCTCACTTCCTTGGTTATGTGTGTTTGGTGGTTGAAGGAATCTTTGGTTCACTGCCTCTGCTCCCCTCTCCACAACAGAAAACTTGTGTGCACACTAGAAAGGATGATGTGATTATTTGGGTTGGTTTTGTTTGTTTGGCCCCATGGAATAATTTGTTCACCCTAAACTAAAAATTTTTCTTCCTCTGAGTATTTACTGGGTAAAAAGGAGACTGTGCCTGTGCGTCTATCTTATTCTGAAGCCAATTCACAGGCTTGTATAATAAAAGATGGCTATGAGTTTCAATCCCTGATCCAATAAATGTTTATGTACAACAGTCTGTAGCAGTGCCAACATGAGAGATTTTGATCAACTCACATTCCTGGCTAAAAAATGATCTCAGAATCTGATTACTGTGAGTTTAAATCCTCTTAAGTAGAAGACACAAATCCCCCAAATCCCAGCTGAATACCTTAAACAGCAGCTTGAAGGGTGACCAGTATGTCTTCCATGGTGATTTTGTGAAGACTGTATAAATTTTTTCCACTTGAAACTACTAATTATTGGCTTAAGATTGGGGTGGGGTTTTTTTTGAGAAAGACAAAAAAAAAAAGCCAGGGAAAATGTCAATCCATTCCCAAGCTAAGGTGCCATTCTCATATTCCTTTGAGAGAAAGGACTGCTGCAGGTATTGCAGGCCCCTTTTGAACCCACATAAATGTGTGTGTAAGTATATTTGTTTCTTGTACACGGTCTAATCTGTGTTTTGGCATGGCAATTTTCCCACAAGAATTTAAGATTATTTTTCAATTACAGCCTTATCAGTAGATTGCAGTACCTGGGGAATAAAGAATTCAGGTCCTCATCCCTACAGCTTGTACGTTTTGACATCTGCATAAGTGAATTAGTTTTCAGAAGCATTGATCCTATGCAGCTCTAATTGCCTTCAACACCTTAAAAAATTAGTATCCACAACACATTAAAAGCCTGTGGGCAAAAATATTGATTTTTGCCTCACATTAAACTTTCAGACTTTCCAATGAAAGATTTTATCTGAGAAATATAACAGAAGTACATGACATTTCAGAAGAATTACTAATCCTAACAGCTGTGGGGATTCTGTGTGTGAAGTAATGAGAGTTGCATAAATACAATCTACTGTCAGGAAGATACTATACTAAAGGTAGTTAAAATTATTAGTTTAAACAATTGTTATGTATCAATTGAATCAATCTCATTAAAAAAATAGGAGGGCAAAGGAAAAATAAAGATTTTCCATCTGCTGAATGGAATATTATATTTACTGTGCCTGCTGTGCTATAAAATAGTGACCAATAAAATAAATTCAAACATAAGAAGACAGTGTGTTATCAGAAGATAATAGTTCATAACAACAGGCATGGCAAATTTTTATACCCCTCATATAAAACAAGAGTCAATACACTTTTAAGGCAAATCACTGTAGTATGGCTGATAAATAACAGGTTCCATCCACTTACCTGTGTCTCCTTTTCCCTTTTGGTGGTGACACCAGGTGACAGCATTCAAGAATCACTTTAGGCCTAAGAGACTTGAACAGACCCTTTTAATGCCAATTCATAGATTTAGATTTGCCAAAATCTGTTAGTCTTCCCAGACTTTGGAAAGTGGGGATTACCTATATAATATTCCTCCATCTACTGTCTTCAACTATCTCTTGTTTTGTTTGAAATCAAACTAATGAAATACATGCATCTGAGTATATGTATTTAGATAAGTTCTAAGTGTTCTCTTATACAACATGAAGCTTTTTCCTATCAGGTTCTAATTTCAATGAGTCCCAGTGCATGGTCCTGGAGGAACTAAACATCAACCTCATTTGGAATCCTATTAACTCACTTTGCCACCTCACTTACAGTGTGCCCCAAAGCATTGGGCACTTACCACTACCATATTATAATTTCTATTTGTTAGCCATACTACTGAAACAGCATTACTAAAATTATTAACATGTCTATCAGGTTAAAAAAAGGAACGTTGGTTATCCAAGTGATTTTTAATGAAGAACTCAAAACCTAAAAAAAAATTAACATAGTTAATCTTTTCTGGTCTGTTTACTCTATTTTATTTTCCATACTTCATATGTAAAACATTGGTTGTATATATAAGTAAACATAACATACCAAAATCTACAAGCTTGACTCCTCCTTCAGTGGTCAAAAGGATATTATTTCCCTTAATATCACGGTGGATAGTTTTGTTTTCATGCAAATGCTGAAGTCCCTGGATGGTGAGATGTAAACATGAACTTTTTAATAACAGCTCTGTCCTCTGTAATACATTTGCAGAAACAATAAAGTGGCAGAAAAGTATGAAAAAATTAAAACATTTTTTAATGCAAAACCACAGAGATGTCATTCTTACTGGAAAACAATTTAGCACACCACAGGGAATAGATATTTTTTAATTGCCCAACTTTATGTCAAATAGAAATTTTAAGATGAAAGCAGAAAAATAGCACTATAAACCTACATTATACCTTTAGAGCATAAAGAAAGATGCTAAGGCCTAAATTTCATTGGAGAAAGTAAAATTTCAATTACAAGAAAATGATGAATAAAGACACTTGATCCTGATGAGCAAAAAAAATTCTTGCAGTGGTGTTTGAATTCACTAGATATGTGGATATTTTACTATTAAAATACTTTGGATCCAGACATAAGAAGTTGGACAGTATTTTAATTATGTTTCTGCTACTTCTCAAAAGAAAAGCAATTTTGATGCTTAACTGTATTTACTAAGAAAATTGATCAATAGTCAGAAATGGTTCATTCTCTTAATAATGAAAAAACAGATTAACTGTTCTTTACCTTGCCTGCTCAAAAAGAACCATCTGAATTACACATCACCTTGATTTCAGTAAACACCACTATAACAGAATATAGTGATCTGTATTAGTAGGGACATGATCTTCATTCATTTAAGGAAAAAAATATGAGCTGAATGTTGACTTTCACTGAAAGCTTATCTTACCATCAGAGCTTCACGTAAAATGTAAGCAATTATAAGTTCATTCATCCTTTCGCCTCTCTTCAGAAATCCCTTCACAAGATCAGTCACAGATCCACCATTGCACAGCTACAAAACATCAAGGAAATACAAAAAGGAATTAGAGAGTGTTGGAGTAGCCATCTGATTTTCAGTTGTTCTTGTATCTGCAGCCAAATGTAGCCTAGTAAACTGGTAATCCACAAATTTGTCCTTACGTCTACCATTTATACAAACAACAATCACAGCAACTTTTGCCAATTCTTTTTCACTACTTTCTACATTTAATTCTTCTTGTCCAAACACACGTACAGCAGTCTATCTCTTTGTTTTCCTGCATACATGATTGCTTTTCACTGAAACAGAAACAGCTTACAGTACAATAAATTTTCTGTGAAGGCATGTTTTGTGGGGCACACTAATTGCTTCTGATATTCATCATGTGCATCTCACCAGCAATGCAGATTATTACAGCATCAATTATCAGGTACAAAAGCTACATACAACATAAAATGGATTTAAGGCATCAGAAGACAGGCAGCAGAGAAATGTCCCCACCAAGGGGAAAGCTGCCCTTTTTGCCCAGCAGCACTTAACTCCTAGTGTAGAAAGATGTGATACACAAGGGATGGGCATCACAGAAGATGGTGAAGCACTGTGGAAAGAAAGGTCTCATCTCCCACTGAAACAAAGTGTGCCATTGGTGTAAGACTAGAGCTCTTGTAGCATCAACCCTATCAGCTTCTCGTTGCAGATGCAGAGCCACAAACTACTCTGGACAATCCTCTCTCCTGTCTAAGGTCCAGCTAGACTCCTGCAAACCCCCGTCCTGCCCTGTACCTGTGGGAAGAACAGGTCTGGCCTTGCTCTCTGAAAAGGATAGTGAGCACACATTGCCAGCTGATTAGTTTAGACCTGCAGTACTTTGTATGTTCATTTTTATCATGTAAAATTTTTCCACAGAAAGAAGCAACAATGAAACTTTAGTGAGTACCTCTGTAGCTCTTACATACCTGCAAAGATGGAATTGGTACTTAAGCCCTTAAACTATCCATAATACACCTGACAATACTCATTGATTGAAGAGCCATTGCCTCTGTAAAGGCATAGCTGTTTCTGATAAAACAGTAAAACAAATTGTAAGTTTTATACTGTATCATCCAGTAGATTTTCACATGAAACTAAATACCCATGTAAGACACTTTAAAAATACAGCACAAAACAGTAATTCCTTTTCACTACTTTTGAAGTATATTTAAATTGGGGCATAATTTATCTATAAAACCTTTCAACTGCAGAATTCCAGACATCAGAATCTTTTGTATATTTTTAATATGTTCTTCTATACCTCTACATTTTTTTCTGTGCTGTAATTACAAAAAGACTTGCATCTTACAGTATAAAGCATTTTATATGCCTTTGTACCCAAACATAACAATAATTCTCTGATTACCTTTGGAACCCCTGGGTTGCACTGAACTTGCACCACATGAATGCCTACACAAATACCATTCAATACATAACTCTTGCTGCAAGATGGGTTCCCTCATCAGGTCAGCCAGGGCTCCGGTCTGACATATGCTGAGCTCTATGGCAACAATCTTGGAACTCACTTAACCTCACCCTTACCTAAGTGGGACAATGTGCATGCTTAGAGAGAGAACTCGTATGCTTAAATGATGAGATTAAGGGCTTTGCTGGATAAGGATCAGATTCCCAAGTAGGATTTCATTTACTGTCATTAGCCATGCTGGTCTGCCTTCTCCATTGACTTTTTCAAGTTAGTTATTTTTTTACAATGACATTATCTTTTCAGGGTTTCTATTGTTTTAATTTTGCCACATCGCCAAAATATTTAATCAAACCAAATGGATTATAACAATTCTGGTTAATTTAATACACTTTAATTCAGGGCACTGAAACTGTCTGACTAGTGACAAATCAACTGTGAAATAAATTACACATATGATATTCTTCTAATTATTTTTCTTCATTATCTAATATTTAAATTTTGCTTCTTACAGATGGATCCTCTTTTTTCTTTACACACTGGATACCTATTAGCCTTTCTGTTCAAGGTAAAAAAAAACAACACAGAAAGGAATATATTCTTTTTGTAGGCAGGTGAAGGGAGAAACTGCATCTCAGAAACCACCTTCTTTAATGTTTAGGCAGTAAATACTGAATTTATTTACCTCGGTCAGCAATGTTAATTTTTACGTTCTTAAACATGTTGCTTTAACTAATTTTTCTACTACTCTCATAATATATAAATCTCTATTATGAGATAAATATCTGCATTATGAGATAACACTTATCTAAAATATCAGGTAATGTAAGATACTAAAACTCTGATTATTTTAAACCGAACCAAAACTGAAGCTGGTATGCAAAAGGTCAGCTAAACAGGTCTTGAAATAAAGAACCCAGAGAAGTCAGCCATATCACCACAGAAATCCTCCACCAATTCCCAAGGCAGAGTGGCTGCTTAGATAGAGTTCAGCTGAGGATGTCATAGACATATGTTCTTGCATACACATAGGGCAACTTTTCTTTTGCTATTTCTGTGTTAAAGAGTTGTACTTTTACTTACATCAGACAATTAGTACTTTTCTGAGACCACCAGTATACAAGGAAGAGAGAAAAAAAGGCTAGGTATTAGAATGCAAGCAGCTATAAGGAGGAAAAGGGATTATTGGAATACAACCACAATTAGAAAAGGAGATTATGGCAGACACTGTATGTGCGTGCTCTACGCTGTGTGGGTGAGAGGGGGGAATGATGACGACAAGGATGACACAGGTTAGTATTAACCTTGTTCTATTTTTACCTTCATGGGTAAAATGTTGTATCTGGTCCAATTTCCTACTTCTGCTGTCTATTTTTTGCAGGTGAAGCTGCCACATGTCCCTATAACCACGCACATAATGGAAGCTGAAATGGTGATTCTTTCTCCTGACTCAGGGTATCAAATTGCATGTGTATTCACAAACACTTCAAAAAGTCCCTATCATAATGAGTCAGGCTCTTCCCTCTCAAAAGAAGAAGCTACAGAAAGTTACAGTACTGCTGCTCAGTGTAGTGCTGGACCACGCTTGCTTGGGAATCTGAATAGAGGGGGAGATAAATTACTATTGGGGATGTTGACTAGGATCTAGCCCATGATGTAGAAACTTAAAGGAGTAAAAAAACCTAAATCGTTAAAAAAATCACATTACCTTAACTTATACAATCCTTTAACGAGAGATTATGGGATAAACATTATTTAGCAGTACTGCCAGACTGAAAGTTTCCTGGGGTATTGTTAAATATTGCAGCTTATAATTATGATCTCTGCTGCTTCTTAGTAGCATGCTGCCCACATTAAAAAAAACCTGTGTAGCCTCTTACCAAAATCACTGTGCTTGAGTTAAGCTACCTATAATGCTTGGATCTCAAGAAATCATGAAGGCAGAGATAACTTTTAAAAAAGATCTTCCTAGTTTTCAATGAGCATCTAGAGAAGGGAGATGCTGATAGCTATTATTTTGTTGCAAGGACTGTGAACTCACATGACCAAAAAGCTAACCAGTCTGTGTCATTACTCTGCATCATTTGGTAAAGTCTCCTCAGAATACCTTAATAAAGGGCACTATAAGCAGAGACCAACAAATGAACAGAGAACTCAGGACACAGACATACAGCAGAAGCTACATGTCTATCTGAGCTCTGCCACGGGGCTGCTTCCTACCCTAAAGATCAAAGTAACTCACCAAATCAAATGACCTTTCACCCGTCATGAGACAGGGGCTCTTCTGGAAGGAGAAAGTAATAATTCTATTTCTCTCTCCCACACTAAAAAACCCCCACACATTCACACACATTCTCTATTGCATACACAGATGCATTCCTTGTGGCTTGTATCAGACAGAAACCCTCTTTTAAGCTTTGAATATACTTAATTTAAAGGGACGGATACTTATAATGTCCAGGCTATCAGACACAGGAAGGGAAGATAACAGAGATCCTCCCACAAGGCAGCTATTTAGAAATGTCATCTTGATAACTTTGTACATGAGCAATTTTCATCAATGTAATGTTAGTCACTTCTTCTATTGTTCCCTTGTGATTTACAGGTATTTTCTTTACCAACAGTATTTTCTGTGCCTGCACTAATAGAATGCAAAGATTACCTGCTACAACAAGCAGGTAAAAGGAGGGTAAACTGAACCCCTGAGGCTACCTAAAAGGGGGTGGAGAAGACAGAGACATCTTCCCAGTGGAAGACAGCAAAGGATGAGAGGCAACAATTCCCGATAGTAGATTCCTATTGGACATAAAGGAAAAAAATTCCCACTGAGTTAAGCACTTGAACAGATCACACAGTTAAGTCTGTGTAATGTCCATCCTTGGAGATACTCAAACTTGAATTGAAAAGGCAAATCTGTAACATTGCAATTAATAATCTTTGAGCAGGGGGCTGGACCAAATAACTTCCAAAGGTCCCTTCCATGATGTACTTTTATAGGATTCAGAATACTTGAATTTTAAAATATTCAGTTCCTAGTTTGGATATTCAGACAACAGAAAGAGTGGGAAAGAACTAAGGAAATATTGCATGCCTAAACCAATGGAAAGAGTAATTTCACAGAAGGCTTGATCCATGTGAAAACCTCCCTTAGAGAGCTGTATCTCTGATGGCCATACATAGCTGTGTCAAAAGAGGTGATTATGACTCTTCTGCAGTAGTAGCAAAGGGCTCCTCCCTTATGATTTTCTGGCACTCAAAAAGGCAAAGACTCATACTGGGATGACATGCAGTCCTCCACCCACCCATCTGCCACAACCCTGTGTTACTTTAACTGAGCTATTAGTATGCTAAGCTAACTTCAGCAAAAAAAAAAAAGTTATAAAATGATCTTAACACACGAAATGTCAATTAAAATTGCTATCACATTGCAATCATGCTGGTGTTCTTTTTAGGTCTTAGTCACTCTTCATCTGACACAGTTGATACATTTCTCCTCTTCAGCTCTTCTTGATTCTGATGCCCACTGAATAAGGATTCAGTATGAGCTTCCCTTTCAAGAAAACTCTCAATTACGCTTCTG